CTTCTTTCCCTTCCCTGGCAGCCCCACATTGCTTACTTCCTTTCCTCCTTCCTTTTTACATTCTTACCCACCACCCAGCATAGTTTTATCTGCTTCTCTCTCTTCAGCTTTTCCATCTGCACTCCTCCAGGCAGCCTCTGTCTGGGAAAACTACGACCTTGGTGCACAGTGAATTGTGAGGTGCACAATTCTAGAATTCATAGGCTTTTAAGGCAGTGAAAGAAGGAAAAAAGGGGGCTGCTCTGGTGAGAATAAAATTAGATGGCAATCCTAAAAATGTGAGGAATCACCTCAGTACGTTCCTTGTGAGAAAGAAGACAGGCCTCCCCATATCTTAAAACTTGCTATGCCTTTACAATCTGTTCTTGAGATAATTATGTGATACTGAAGTTAATAGTTCAGAAAGAGCTCTTGGTAAAGCATTTATTTTTTTAAAAAAGGTCTAGGTTTCAAAGTGATTCTGCTGGACTCCTAGATCAGTTGACAGAAAAGTTATCTTTAAACATATTTTTAATTCCTCTTAAAAGGTGCTTAAAGATAACCTTTCAGTGTTTGCTGCTACATGCATGCCTCCCACTCTGCCATTGGTGAAATAAGACAGTTTTTTATAGTTTGGTGTTGCAGGAATATTATCTTTTTCTTTTCTTTGCCAACTCCTAGACCCAGAATACCAACTAACTTCATTTAAATCACAACCTGTAAGGCTCATTTTAAAAAAACTTTGTGCAGGCTTATGATGCCACTTTAATCACCGCCGTATAGACAGTAAATTTATTATATTATTTGATGCTAGAGCTGTGTTAAATTCTGCATATTATAAGAGTTCTGTTCAGCAAAGTCTAGTCAATAATGCAGTTAATAACTTTTATATCCTTTTGTTGCACAAAATAGTCACCAGTTTCAAAGGGGCTTTCTTTACACCAAGCAGAAATATTTCATCAGATATATATAATTGCCCTAACATGTTGGCACTTTCCATCAGCCACTGGCCCATCAACTGCCAATGAAGAGTACTCACGTGCCATGGGCTGGGTCCTGGGTCCAGTCCTCTTCCCCACCCACTGCCTCCTCAGCCACTGTTCCCTGTCAGAATAAACTGCCAAAACAGGTATCTCTCCTGATGAAGACACTTCTGCTTGGCTCCTGTGGGACTAATTTTTCCCTCAGTGGCTGTTGCTAGGCAACCAAGCTTGGTTCTGTCAGTAAAAAGGCAAAGCCAGGAGGCCTTTTCTAGGCCTTGGTGGGGAACTCGTTCTGACTAGGGTTGCCAACTCCAGGTTGGGAAATTCCTGGAGATTTTGTGGTGGTTTGGGAGGGGAGCCAGGGCTTGGGGAGGGGAGAGGCCTCAGCTGAATAGAATGCTATAGACTCCACCCTCCAAACCAGCTGTTTCCTCCTGGGGAACCACTGATGCCATTCTCCAGGTGAGAAAACTTTACGTTTGCTAGGTAGTGGTGGTGGTGGGGGAGAGATGGAAACCTGAAGTCAGAAGGGTAGATAAAGGTAGGTTGATGGTTGGCTGGGAAGGAGATAGGGTTGCCAACTCTAGGTTGGGAAATTCCTGGAGATTTGAGCGGTGGAGCCTGGAGAAGGTGGGGTTTGAGGAGGGTTGGGACCTCAGACAGGTACAATGCCATAGACCCCACCCTCCAAACCAGCCATTTCCTCCTGGGAAACAAATTGTTTCCAATCTCCAGGGGAAGGCTGGAGATCACTCAGAATTACAACTGTTCTTCAGATGGCAGAGATCAGTTCCCCTGGAGAAAACAGTAAGCTCTGTGTCATTATACCTTGCTGAGGTCACTACAACAAATTGACACTAAGTGCCCAAGGCCAGGGCAGCCACCCAGAGCTCGTTGTATTTACTTCCACAATGGGCCATATTCCTAGTAAGTCCATAAGGCCTATTGACACAATTTCCAAAATATCTTATTTCACAGATGTTTGTGGGGTAAGGATCCCTAGATTTTGAAAAATTAGAAGAAAATGATCATTTAAAATTCTTTCTCAACAGGGAAAATTAAAAAAAATTAATTCAAGTCCCTAGAAATCAAACAAATCAGGTCCCATTTGTGTCAGAAGAAAGGCGGGGTATGTATATGTTCTAACTAAACAAATAAAAATCTGCCACCTAATTTAACAGACATTCCTTAAAAAAAAACAGCAACAATGTTTGACAATAAGGAAAATGTGCGCCTCATGGCTGCTATGGAGCAACTTCAGCTTTTCAGACCGAAACAACTTGGCAGTCATTCAAGAGCTGAATTCCTCCTCTTCATTCAAATTCCCTGGAGATCTCCCCCCCTTCCCCATGTGTCAA